GTGTGTATGTTATATTTAATATATATATATATATATATATATTATATATGTGCATACAAATAAATATATGTATATATATTCAAGATTTAGAGAGTCGTGGGCCTGAAAAGTCAATTTTAACATGAGGATTTATACGTTAGTCGTGAAAGTTGCGCCTTTGTTGCCATATTGCATACTAACTGGACCCCAGGCCATAACCGCCAAGAGTGGAACGCCTCCAGATGTGGCACAATTTTCATGCAGTGAAGATGTCGCTGGTCTTCCAGAAATTCCCGACACAATAAAGCCCGTCTTGACGTAAAGACGCACGTTGAGATATCCGTGAAGCCATGGCATCATGCGGGTGGAAGCATTCAGGCAAACGTTTTCCTTTCTTGCCATTTGGTGTAGTACATGACAGTAAAAAGTTATCGCGGGTTTAACAGGCCACTGTTATTAAGTTGCATCAACTTTAAGCGCTTCAATTGCAGCAGGTCTTGGCATACTAAGAACAAAGCATTTCGGCTTCACAAGAAAACAGATCACAAGACACAAGAGCCGATTTTCTCACTGTGATTGCTCTCGTGGTAATTTGCCCAATAAAACTAAATTTCTTCCGGAATTTTAGCAGAAGCTACGTACGGACAGAGCGGGATCAGACGATGTGCTTTGCCCAATTATTGTAATTTATACAAAAGAAGGGGCTGTTCAAGGGAGTATGTCTAGTCAAGTTATGAATTTCAGCTGCGCACGAGGATGGAAGGGAATTTCGGGTTACAAATTTTGTCGTCACTGGTTTCTGTAAATTCGCCTCCACTGATGAGATATTGCCACAGCCCCCAAGTCTTCTAATGGTACACTAATTTTGGAAGACAGTGGAGATATGGTGACGTCATCACATGGGGTTTGTCCTCGAAGCCTTTAATCTCAATAGTTAGGCCAGAATGCATTTCCACGTTTGACGTGCAACGTTTAGTATCTATTTACCGGCTTATTTTTCACGGAGGTAAGGTAAACCACCTTTGAAAGGAAAGTGTATTTTCGTTTACTACACGACAGGAATTCTGGTATGTTTATTTGTCTACAAAACAAACAGGCCAGCGACGGCGGAACCTGAGAGCAAAATCGCACGACAGAGGCGTACACAGGATTTCTCGATGGGGGGATGTCACAATGAGGGAGAGTGGTACAGGTTTTCATGGATGGAATAATTGTTCGGACTATCGCTCTAGTCTGATATGTTAGTATGTACACATCACTTCGGTCAGGTACCTCTCCAGCCAACGTCAGCGGAAACTGAGACCTGAGAAGACGATCTGTATAAGAGGGTTAGAATAATCAGCCCGACAATAGCTTCAGGACATCGTGTACCGGAGATCAACGACAACCTGTG